GATTGCAGCTTCACGACGTCGAACCTTCCCTGTGTTTGATGGCGTGCGTTTTTTTCTGCACAGAGGCGGGTGCAAATCTTGACTGCAATAAGATAGTGGTCCGAGTCGATGTTAGGACCTCGAAGCGCACGCACATCCAAAACACTGGAGACGTGTCTGCTGTCTATCACAACATGATCGATCTGGTTGGTGGTTTCGATTCGGAGACAGCCAGGTAGCTTGATGAATCTTCTTTTGCTGGAATCTAGTACTACTGATAACCATATTTCGGGCCCCGGTGAAGTCGATCAGCCTCACCCATTTGGGGATGTTTCCTCGTGGAGGCAGAATTTACCGATCGTATTGCCAAAGATACCTTCTTTGCCCACCCTGAAAATCTACCAAATAGAAGGCAATCGAAAGGATTCAGAAGCTCCCTGCGCTATACAAAACAGGAGCTTTATGAACAACTGCAATGACGGCTCTTGAACTGGTACTAAACCTGCTACGCGCAACGCAATAAACATCTATATGGTTGGCTCCAAAATGAACGTGCCGAAATGTTCTGTCCACAGTTAGGCATTAAGCAACCTTTTAAGTTATCGAACCACTGATATATACTATGTTTTAAGTTAAGGTCTTTGCTACTGCGAAAACCAGGGAACCGGCCTCTAATGCACCTGCAGGCAATTCCAGAGTCAACATCTACGTAGACAGCCAAACATCAGTCAAATCAGTAACCTTGTGCCGTGTCTTAGGAAGAAGGGCGGCAGTGAAAAGTGTTGCCAGAAGCCAGCAACTTCATTTTTATTGGATACCTGTCAGGATACAAAGGCATCGAGGGCAATAAAATATTGGACGAGATTGCCTAGAATGGTGGCCGATAAACATTGGGAAACCCATGCATTTTCTATGCGACGACCTCGACAGAAACATAATAAATAAAATCAAAACCCGATGGAATGAGCTATCTGAGTGCAAAACAGCAAAAGTCATTCGCAAAACGGTAAATCGGAGGTACTCAAAATTCCTATTGGGTCTCGATAGAAGAGAGTGAAGGAACACGATGTGAATTGAATACTAACTGGTCACTGTCTGGTGGCGACACATGCCCGCAGGATGGGATTGGCAGATTGAAAAGGTCATGCTGAGAGAACAAGATGATTACAGGAAATGTCTAGAGCAGGGCACCAGCGAAACAATGGACCATCTCTTGTGCACTTGTCCCCTCATTGCCAAGGCTACGTCCGATAGTGAGACCGAAGAGACTGTTAAATTTCGGGTCCAGCGTAGACATTTTTAAGGATGACTATTTCTCCTTTATTTAGCATCTCAGCTACAGCCGGTATCTGGTCTGAAAAGGAGCAAGGAGCAAACTGGTCTAAAGGTGGCTTATTAACCTACCATATTAACCTTCCCTAATGTACGTCTTTGCATGATGAAATGATAAACAACGTTAAGGTACCTTGCATACAATCACCAATCATAAGAAGTAAAGTCAGCCGCCGGTTCGAAAATCCTGATATTAGCTATATGGGGGCTAGGTCGACTTTTCGCTCAATTTTTTTATTTTATGCATAAAGATACACTGTTCTGAGTAAAACACGATCTGTTATTTTCGTTGAGATAACTTAAAAGCGGCCGATATATGGAGTATAAAGATGGCAAATCTTTATATTGTTTCTTGATTTCTACTGGAAGATGAAAGATTCGAAATTGGACCTTTACTTTTAAAATTTTTAGTTAAACCAACCATTCCGCCGTATATGTCACGATTTCAGTTCTCATTCCAGCACATTTCATCTAACAGACTCGCCTTTCACCAATAAAAAAAAATGTTACTTACTCTTAACAAGCAGCATTCACAAATAATAAATTTACCTTAATACAATTCTTAATACTGGCTTTTGAAATTTTTGCTTCTGTATCTGAGCAGTTTAAGACGGCAATGCTTAAACCTCTCTTGTCTTTTATGACTCGGCTAATTCCACTCGGGTGTGGTTTGTGCCCCTCGCGTCGATTGAGCGGAAAGGTGGTAATTGTTAAGTGTTATTATTATTACTATTAAAAGTGTGTGAAGCTACGCCCATCGTCCTTATTTTAATATCGGGTCGTATAAATCGCTCTCATACTATCTCGGAGGAAAAATTGAACATATGTGGTGTATTTAGTTATTGTTTTATCGCGCTTCTAGTAGTTTTTAACTGTATCGTTATATGGGAGTGGGCGAAGTTATTATCCGATTTAATTTTTATTCCGTCAGTAACAGTTCTTATAAGAATTGTTCTGAGCAAATTTTGCTATTTTAGCTTTAATGGTCTGGAAGATATGTACATTATACCTATTAGAGGGTGGGGCACGCCCACTTTTCCAAAATTTTCTGTCAACAAGTGCCCCTGGCTACTGCGATCCCCTATGTCCTATTAGAGTTTTATATCTCCATTTAGTGGTTACTTAAGGTATTTTATAAGTTTTCTGTTATTGGCGTTTTGTGGGCGTGACAGTGGTCCGATTACGCCCATCTACGAACTCGTATTTTGTCTGGTGCCAAGGAAAGCGCACACCAGTTTCATCAAGAGATAAGAGGGACGGCCGACGGAAAGGCTCTATATTCACCAGTGAAATCTTTGCTATCTATCAAGCTGCTCTAATAGCATCCAAAACCATGGGTAAATTCTGCATTTGTACAGACAGTCAATCTGCCATCGATGCCGTCAAAAATTTTACCAATAACAGTGTCTTAGTAACTTACGTTCGTGATCTGCTCACCAAGCAAGCAAATAAAATGAAATTGATGTGGGTACCTGGTCACTGTGGAATTCAGGGCAATGAACTCGCCGATTCTGTGGCGAAAAGTTTTCATGAAGAACCGGTTCTGTGCTTTGACGCCCTTGAAAAAGCCGACTTAAAACGTCTAATAAAGCAGTACGTACATAACAAGTCCCTGTTGAAATGGAATGAATACGTTCATCATTATGCGGCAATTAATCCTACCAGAGCAAAGCCTATATACCCCACGAACTCCAAACATTCAGACATTTTGTTATTCACAAGGCTTCGCCTAGGTCATACGCAGATCACGCACGATTACCTGTTAAATAATGGAAACAGATCCTGCTGCTTTTGTAGGTCCTCTAGGACATCAGTAAAACATATAATAGATGCATGCCCCCAATTTATGTATACAAGGCGAAGGATGTTTGGCACAGCTCTCCCATCGAAACTGCTAATTAATATAACATCGTCGAATATAAGTACTATATCTAACTTTCTTATAACATGTAACATAGCACATTTAATCTAAGATAAACTGTTCAATTTATATATTAATGATAATATTTATGTATATCTGTTATTTAGACATAACATCCAGTTATTACTATCATATTAAATTGTAAAGACCAGCTGATGGCCTCGAGCTAGTGCTGCTAATTTTGCTATTTTCTGTATATTTATATGCTTAAAATAAATATGAATCTGAATCTGTATATAAGGTTGTCAAAAAAGTCTTGCGGTATTTTCGCTGGTTGGCGCTGAGAGCGCGTAGTTCTAGTTTTATTTGTCGCAACAGGTCATGTATACCTTTTTGGAAAGCTCATTTCATGCGCTAACATGTGTTTGATTGATTGTCGTTTGCTTTAAGTCATTCGTGAGTTATAGCATCGCAAACATGGAGCAAAACAAAGAGAAAATACGGCATATTTTACAGTATTACTACGATAAAGGCAAAAATGCATCTCAAGCCGCCAATAAAATTTGTACAGTTTATGGACCCGATACAGAAGATGCGCCACGCTCCGGAAGGCCTGTCGTCGAAAATTGCGATAAAATCGCTGAATTGGTCGAAAGACACCGGCATAGTAGCAGCCGTAGCATCGGTCAAGAGCAGGGCATGAGTCATCAAAAAAAATGTTATGAACAATTGAAAATGCAATAAAGATACCGCAAGACTTTTTTGACAACCTGATTTATCTATGGCGATCAGTTTTAGATGATACGTACAACCGTTAGGTGTACAAGGCCATTATACTTGTATGTACTTTTTAGCAACAGGTTGCAATAGTATAAAATAACGTAAATAACGTAACCTACATCACCGCTTTTGAAAATTAGGACATCATTAGGTGAGGGATATAAATTACGTTCAAAATCAGTTTTTGTTATCGTTATTGAAATTTAAATTTAGCACAAGATAAAGTTTTAAAATAATTTTCTCATGCCTCCTTCACGCTAGAACGTAGCAAACTTTGTGCCACAACGCGGAAAATTTGATCACTCATGACATTCGAAGATATTTAATTTTTTGTCAAGAAACCTAATGTTCATTATGATAATTTTACACTTAAATAATATCTTGAGGCACGTACTGATCAGAATATAGCTCTGAAAATATATGGGTTACAGCAAAAATTTGCAAGATCTGGAGCTGCATCGGAATACAAATATAAATTTGATTTATTAAATTTATACTCCTACAATAGATTTCGATTTCTGCTCTCATGTGGATCATGATGCTCATTCCAAAAGAGCCTGAATTAAGCAATATCAATAAAAAACACACAGCAATTCCATGAAGATTCAACGTAAAATTTTCTCAAATGATGGATCAAAAATTGAAAATATCTATATATTGAAAATATCACACAAGTTACTTAAAATTTAATTAAATTTCTAGTTATTTTATATGAAATGTATTTAGGGGTTTCATACATATACGAACTGAAAAATAGCGTTGAGAATTGTAATAGCGTAAAGTAATTTTTGTATGATGTAAAAAAATGTGTGTTAACGTGTAAAAATTCGTGACGTGTTTCTGCGAGTGGTGCTAGCCGTTACAGCAGAGGTAGGCGATTAAATTATGTGTGAAACTCGATAAATCTGTGACAGAGACGTTTGATATGATCAAGCAGGCTTACACAGATGTTGCTTTAGCAAGAAGTAGTGGTTTTCGACCTTTGTGGAAGGCCGGGAAGAGATCGCTGCTGAAGACCGGAAGTATGAGCAAATCCAAAGTTAAAACGATGCTCATTGTCTTTTTTGAGATCAAAGACATCGACCAGTTTCTCCAGTACAAACCGTTAAAGCCAAGTTTTACGTGGAAGTCCTCGAAAGACTCAAACAAAGGGTCAGTCGAGTCCGACAAGACGTCGCAGCCGATTGAAAGTTGCACCACGACAACTCCCCGGCTTTCTTGTGAACAGATATCTAACCAAGGCCCACATCCCAACTCTTCCGCAGCCGCCCTACAGCCTAGATGTGGGCCCCCGGCCTTTTGTTGTTTGCTTGCCTGAAAATGCCGATGAAAGCATTTTGAGACGATAAAGGGGATCCAAGCAGCATGCACCTCCGCTCTCACGGAGCCTTTTTTGAAAGTTTTTAAAGAATAGTAATGTTTTTTTCAATATTTTTTGTTTTTAAATCGACTCAGTATTATTAATGTATGTAATATAATGTAATAATTGACAATAAGTTAATTAACTAGTAATCTCAATACGAGAGCTTTTAATTGTTTTCCTGTTTCGTTTGATATCGCAAGCATAGCGCACAACGAGTCGGTCGATCTTTCAATATCTTGGGAGTGGCATTTTTTTGCCGCGAATAAGGCATGAAATTTTCTATTGTTTGAAACAATGTATGTAGAATATTATTATTTAAACAAATCGACCCTGGAAAATTAATTAATAATATAACACAAACATGTTTCTTCGAATACAAAAAATTTTATCGATTTATTTGCATTAGTTTATGAGGAAATAATTTTACAATTTTATCGTGCTCCAAAATTCAACCTTCAATAACATTAACAAATATCACGAGGTATGCGTTGATCCCTCACCAATTGTGTGCCATATGTGGCAAAACAACGTACATAACATTTACTATTGATACATTAAATCTTCCTTGGAAATTTTCATCCAATACTTAATTAACACTGTTTGCTGATAAACACAAGTACGTACATACATACATATATATGAGTTAGAGTATATTTTTCATTGTAGGTGCCATTTCTTCAGACATAGAAGATGGTTCGATCGATCTCGCCTTCAAATACGCTATACACAGTATCAATAAGGACGCAAGCTTGCTTCCAGAGACGAAAATTACATTCGATTTACAGCACGTGACCAAGGATGATTCATTTCAGGCCTGCCAAAAAGGTAGCTCTTATTATAAAATCATATGATTGTATACACTAGGCCTCGAAAACCTTTTGCTCTCAGTAAACTAAGGTACTAGCATAACTAATCATGTAGCGTAGAGATAACGGGACTTTTGTTGCCGTACCATGGAAATCCATGCGTCAAAACTGTATGGCAATCTCATCACAGTGTACAATAACGCGGCGACTTTAAATGTTTATTAAAAATTGTTATTGATATGTTTAAAATATTAGATTACAACTATTTTTAAAACCATATAACCATAATTATATATATTAACCATATAACTACTGACAGGTAACATATTATTTAATTTATTTTTATATAGATATATTTTTTTTTAAGTTTGCGCCCTAATCGAGTCAGGTATACACGCGATTTTTGGACCATTCAACGCTATATTGGGAGTTCATATTCATTCAATATGCGATGCCCTTGATATACCACATATAGAATCACGATTATCACATAAGGTGGCCAATACAGAGTTTTCCATAAATTTATATCCAGCGAAAGAGTACGTTAACTTAGCATTCGAAGACATCATTCGTTACCTGAATTGGACCAAGGCTGGGATACTTTATGAGAAAGATTTTGGTATGATAAAATAACGTTTAATACATTCATGTATATGCTGCATCGTATCTTAATTCTAAATAATCATTCGGACTCATCTGTCATAACCGTACTTTTCCCGCACGTTCTCGCATGCAAGTAAAACTTAAAATAGAAATTTTACCTTCATAAATGCGTCCAAGACTACGCATAACTTACACATAACGTACTAGCGGCCCGGTACGTATTTCGCTACGTATAAAGTGAAATAATAATAAAATTTTATTTTAACATAATATTTTATTCAGACCAAAAAAAAAAATTTATTAATTAATATGCGTTTTAAAACTTAATTGTAATCCTTTTCATTTAGCAGTTAAGTAGTACCTTCAATTAAATTGGCAACAGCTTTTGTACTGCCAACAGAAACATGTTGCAAGAGTATAATAATTTTTGTAGCACCAAAATATGTCATTTAAAATGTCGAATTGTACTGCTGAACATGATTCAAACGAAGCTTCAACGTTTGAGATGTGCCCAAGAACTAATGAATACAATGATTTTAATGCTGGCAATCTCACTTTGCCATTAGCACAACATATCCCGGGCGTATTAACTTGAAAGTTAGCCGGATCACAATGTGGATAAATTGCGGACATCATTCCAATGTATGCGTACATACTACATGTGAGCAATCTGACTGTTGTAATTAAAAGTAGCACACATCATTTCCCAAATTGCACGAGGTATTGGTGATCACCGTGAAATTTCTGTACAAGTACAACGTTAACAGATTTATTTAGTGTCGTTTGACCGATTTTATGCAAACTCCACATAAACCCGCTACTAAATAGTCAGAACCAATATTTGGTTTGGATAGGTCAGCCCATTCTAGGGTTATAAAATTACAACGACGGTGGCATTGCTTTTTATGTGCTTAGTTAAGTTGTAATTGACTTTATTGAAGAACTGCCGAAATCAAACTACGACTTTTTGTCTTTACAATGTAAAACTTATAAACTAATACAATCCAATAGAGGGTGGAGTGAGAGATAAAAATAATGTTTAAGGAAAAAGGATAAATATGGTAATGAGAAATAGAGATTATAAAGGGTAAGTGTATAATGTATAAAGTGCGGTAAATAAATGGATACATCACACCACCACCCGCAAGAAATTTGCGTCTGTTAGTTAATTTTTCATAAGTTTCTTAAAATGGTATTTTTCTTTTTCTTTTTTTTATTGGGGTTGGAATTTGTATTTCTCTGTTAGTTACTACATTATCCAAATGATTTGTTCATAGTGCCTTTTTTGAATAAGTTGAGCAATCCTTTTAATTTTTTCTTCTTCGTAGTTTCTAGATAAATTCTGAATTGATTTTTTATCACGATTTTTATTTATAAAATCAATGGAGCTCTATTTTGTTGTTGAATGTATTGTATTATTGTAGGAGTTAAATATTTTGAAAAGTTTGTCATTCAAATCTTCTATTCTGTTGCTTTTATCTGCCTCTATTATTTTCAAATGTTCATTTAATGTACCGTTCGATACCACAGTTAACCATTTTATGTCATGGGGTGGTTACATGAGTTCCAATGCTTTCTTCTTCTTAAAATAATCTTACTGTGCTGCGCAGTATGCAGCGTTCATTATCAAATACTTGTTTTCGCATTTTTCCTAAAATAAATACGTTGTTTCAAAGGTGCAAAGATTGCAATCCAATATCTGTCGTTAAGTTTGTCGAACGTTGCGGATTTTGAAAATTTGTCTTTTGTTTTGAGATACATTACGTCTGGTAACCAAATATCTATGTGAACTATGTCGTTGAAACACTTTGGCGGTTTCTGTTATTTGATAAGGATGTTCAATTGGATTTCTGTCCGTTTTGTTATTTTACAAATTGAGCAATTATTAATGCATTTGGTTGTTATATCAAATAATTTAGGGTAAACAAATTTATTATTTGGTTCAAGAAATATTTCCTGTATACCTCTGTGATTGTTACGAAGGTGCCGGTTTTCTATTGTAGCCAGTATTAAATCTATAAATTGGAAATCTTATTATAAATTCTTGGAATTCAAGAAAAAGTTCACCGTTCTCACAAAAATACATGTATAATTTTTATAAAAACCTTTCATTTTCAGCATAGCTGAGATTGTTTTGAGTTTTGTAGTAGTTTCCCGTTTTTTCCGTTGACCAAGCCTTTACCTGTTTTTCACCGTATCGTTTAAAGTATTTTCGTTATTAAATACGAATGCGTTTGGAAGTCCTCATTCTTTATGTATTTACTTAAATTATATCATCGGTTTCAATTACAAATTTACAACCATTCAGACAGGTTCGAAAGTGTTTTACTGACCAAACTACAGCAAGCTTTTCTTTTTCTATAGTCGAATAACGAACCTCGTGGTCAGCTAAAGTACGTTATGCAAAGCAAATTTTTTGGTATCATCAAAAAACTTAATCCAAAAAAGTCCCCGAGACATGATAATATTTCCCCAAAAATGCTAATTGGGTTACCAATTATTGCTGCAGAAGTGCTCTCTTTGCTCTTCAATGCAATTCTTAGTTTCGGATATTATCCAATTTCATGGAGAAAGTCGCAGATTATCTTGATAGATAAACCTGGGAAAGACTTAACACAGTCGTCTTCATACAGACCAATCAGTCTTCTACCCTGTCTTTCAAAAGTATTTGAAAAAGTATTACTATCACAGATGTCTCCTTTAATCCACGCAAATAATACAATACCAATGCGTCAATTCGGTTTTCATGCGAAACTTGGCACAATAGAGCAAGTATATACAATTACTAACGAGATGATTTGAGCACAGGAAGTACTGTTCAGCAATATTTATAGATGTAGCTCAGGCGTTTGATAAGATGTGGCACGAAGTTATTTTATACAAGATTAAAATAATTGTACCTATATGATTGTATAAAGCATTGGAGTCCTATTTAAAAATAGAAAATGTATGGTAAAAGTGGGAGATTTCATATCTGATGAACGACAGATAAGGCTGGTGTACCCCAGGCCAGATCTTCCAACAGCTAATAATGTATTAACTTCAACTTTTGCGGACGACCCAGCTATAGTGAGCCATAACAAATGCCATATTTTAGCATCAAGAATATTAGCGAAGCATTAAAGTTCTGTCGAAGAATGGCTAACAAACTGGCGTATAAATGTGAATGAACAGAAGTATAAGCATATTACATTTTCGCTAAGACCAAAGATGTGCCCAGCAGTAAAAATAAACAATATTTTAGTACCAAGCTAACGAAGTAACATACCTTGGTATTCACATAGACAGAACGCTCACGTGGAGAAAACACATCACTAGTAAAATAACTTGCATGAAGTCTAGAGCTGCAAATTTAAATTGGCTTTTAAATAAAAACTCCTAACTTAGCCTAGACAACAAACAACGTACATGTGTAACGAAAATATTCATAAATATCTTGGTATCCCTATGCTAAAGAAAGAAGTAGAAACCGCAGAATTAAATATATATCTAAACTCCGAGATCACTCAAACCCTTTGTCAAATGCTTTGGTACATTCCTGCGATCAAACACGACTTAAAAGAAGAGATATGCCTGCGTGTTAAGGGGATATACGCAGTTAAAATTTTCAAAAAATGTTTTTTTTTTCATTTTCGGAATATATCTATATATCTAAGTATATTCTCTAAAAATTTGAAGTCAATCCGATAAATACTTTCGGAGATATACCTGAATTTGTAATTTCACGTCAGAGCGTTAGAAAGTTGGGCCAGTAAGAACTGGACGAGCAGATGCACGCAGAAGGCGCGCTACCTTAGTCCCTTTATTCTATTGTTTTGTTGTGGAATACGAGTATAATAAAGACTTGAAGGTCACATCCGGTTATAATAGATTGGCAAATCGCTGAATTGGTCGAAATAGACCGGCATGGAGCAGCCGCAGCATCGGTCAAGAGCTGGACATGAGTCATCAAGAAAAATTTATGAACAATTGAAAATTCAATAAAACTACCGCAAGAA